CAAGAGACACTAAGTAGCCGTGATCCACGTATCCGCCGAAATGAGCCTGAACCTGATCATATTCCAGAGCCAGAATGTTTTGGTGATTCTTTGGAAACTGTCCCAAGCTCTAAGATAAAAAGTGTCCAGCATATGTCTGTGGCAGCCAATCCATTAGTAAGCTCAAGTAGAGTTCCTTCACAAACTCATCTTGAAAGGGAAGTTACAGGCAGTCCAAAGTATGGTGACTTGCAGAAACCATCAAGGCCCAAGAGTGCACACAAAAGGCGAAATTCTGGTGACTGGTCAAGCCACTCACCAAATCATGAAAACTACAAAGATGAGCCAGAAGAAACGCATGATGTCAGAGGAAAAGCACGGAGGGGAAGAAGACGCTCTAACGAAAGGCAGAGAGAAAGAGGAAAAGGTGAGAGGGGCAGAGGTCGTGGCCATGAACCAGGAAAAAGAGGCAGAGAAATGGAGCATGAAAAAACTGAGCGTAGGTATAACAGAGTGCCAGACAGAGGCTCCAGACAGACAGTTATTACAGGGAGACATGATGAAACAAATCATCCTTTTCGGGATGGTTTGAGGAAGAGGAACGAACCTTTCCTGCCACGAGAAGAGCATGTGATGAATCAGGAAAAGTGGAGGAGGGATCCAGCAGAATTTCCAAGTGTAGATGAAAGGTCTCGGCTTGGAAAACATGGCTCTGAGGGTCCACCTATGAGAGACAGATATGTAGGTAAAGATTTCAGGGGTAGTAAAAGTCCACACTATGGTCGTGATGAATTTGTCAGGATGGGAAGTCCAGGAATGCACGAAGAGAGACCAAGGGGAAATGGATGTGAAAGAGAACAATATGAAAATGTTGAACGATTCAAACCGCATCAAAGCAGTCAAGGAATGCTACAAGATCCCGACTTTCAGTTTAGAGAGGAAGTGCAGGGTCACCCTTCAGTCCCTTTTCATGATGACCCAAGAGATAGACCTGTGGGAGAACCTCTGTCAAAGAAACCAAGACCTCTTCTCTCAGATGTGGAGATAACTGAACTGCGGAACAGAAAGGGGGCACTCCCAAATACAGGCAGAATGACACCACCACCTGTTTTCCATGAAGGTTTCCTTGGAGAACCCATGGACATTCACTCACATCCTATGGATGCTGAACATCCTTCACCTCGGGATCATAGCTTTGGGCCGCCAGGCCCAGGAATACGGAGAGAATTTAGGCCTCATACTCCACCCATGGAACAACATCCAGGAGAATGGACTCCAGGGTTTGAAATTCCACGTGAGCTCATGTTGGATCATCAGAATGAAATTATGAGGCAGGTCAGTGAAAGTCGTACTCAAGGTTCTCCATCTATTACAAAAAGTATTCCATGGCTTTTCTTCTTTATATGTTGTAGTCTTAGAAATATATTTTAAGATTTCAAATGTATTTTCATCCAGGCTGAAAGTCGTCTTCGTGCAGGAGAGTTGACTTTGGAGCAACATGATGATTTAGTGGATAAACTTCGCCAATTGTATGAGCTTCAGAGGCATCCTGATTCAATGCTACTGCCAGGAGAGAACAGGCCTCCACCAAATTCTGAGCATTTACCAAGACGCATGATGCACTCAAGATTAGAGGAACCTCCATTTAGACCATGTGGACCAGGTTGACATTGTTGTTTCTTTTTTTGATGATTCAGTAATAATATTGTGGGAGGGAAGGCAACTGTAGGTGTGACAAAATATGTCTTAATAAAAAGACTGAGGACAAACAAATTAAAGGAAAATACCTGTTTAGTTTCCCTAGTTTATATTTTCTTGGGCTTGCCTGCAAGATGACTTGTTTTGATTCAAAGGGAGCTTAAATTGCAGCCTTGAAATGTTGGAGCATCAAGGTCTGCAAACATGCAATATATCCAGTCAGTCACTTTTCTTTCATACAGTTCCTGAACCTGTTAATTTTTTTTCTCTCAGAGGGGGCACTGGATAGGCCTGGAACTCCACCAGAAATAGGCCCTGGAAGACCAATTGCTTCAAGATTTGATGGTCCTCCAGAACATCTCAGAATACAAACCAGAGGTCCTTCTCCCATGGAACCAGGCCATATGATGAGGGTTGAGGTCCCCAGATTTGAAGCCAGCGAACCTGAAATGAGGAGATTCAATGATGACTTCAGAAGAGCACCAATGGAAGTGGATCCTACCTCACTCGGTAGACCAATACCAATGGGTGGTCCCCCCATAAGAACTGAAAGACCATTTGACAACAGTCCAAGGCTTGATGGTGGGTTGAACCCTCAGTTTTCTCATGGAAGGCCTGTGGAGGAGATTGCTAGACATCCAACCAGTCATGAAAACAGCCTAGGGTCCATGGTAACACCCAGCACACCACCAAGGCAGGACAAAGGTAAGTTCCCTGGAAACCATAAACTCCTGAGAGTATCCCCTTCTTGCAGTGCCCCCTCCTTGCAGTGCCCCTTTGAATCAAATGTAAAGGTCAGGGGATTAATGGAAATGATTATCAATTTGAGAAGTTCCTGATTTTTAAAGAAATTCTCCTCGTTATTAACAAGAGTAAAGAGGTAATCATTAAAATATTGTACTTAAACTGCTTATGGATAATATCTCCATTGGAGGAAGGTATAATATGTGTATCTAGAACAAAGTCAACCTTAACTTAAAATTCACAAGGTCTCTTTTGGGGCTTATTACACCCATGTTGTTTCTTCTTCACGTGAACATTGTAGATGTGGTTGATTCTGGATTCTTGATGTGAACTATTAGTGATAGTCAGTTGAATATAAGCGTACCGGTTTATATCATTTTACCCTTTACAGCCCAAGAAGTACCTCACACTCCCAACACTATGATGGAGAAGAGATCTGTTGATGATCTCTTTCGAAAACTGATGGATTTCGGAATAATCAAGGTGATGCCTGAACCGGGTAGTGAACCTCCTCAGCATGTGGCCGCACCAGCACTCCCACAGGCTGAGATGCAAAATCAACGACCCCTCCCTGGACTACCGGTTTCTCTACCAGGCCTCTCTCTGCCAGCCACAGCTGCAAAACAAACGCAACCTCCCAAAGAGGAGAAACACGTCATTCCACCCATGAAACTTGTTCCCGAGGACCTAAAAAAGTAAGCTAATCGTATTGGGTATTACAATTATTCACCTGCAAGAAAACTATTTTAATGTCCTCTGATTGAGTGTCGTCAAATCAAAACCAGGGGTATCAGAACGGAAAAATTCTTAAGGACCTAATAAGAAACCTAAATTAAAACAAACACTGTCCGAGTGCAAGTAATCAAGTCGCAGTTGTTTTAAGTTTCATCCAATCAGTTTAGACAATTGCTCGATTTGTTTTGTTTTAACCAATCCAGGAACGAAGTGAAGCAAAACCTAAGTAGTTCTTTATTGCTTTCGACACTATCGAAATTTGCAGTATTACAACGTGTCACTGTATTTTTCACTGCGCAGGCGTCACGATAGTATAATCGCCAGCCTTTATGATGGCACGCAGTGTTCATCATGTGGGCTGCGGTTTCCTGGTGAAGCTGCAAAGATCTACCGTGAGCACTTGGATTGGCATTTCCGTAAAAACCGCCGAGAGAAGGACGGCAGGAGAGTAGCGCACAGGCAGTGGTACTTTGTTGTCAACGACTGGCTGAACTATGAGGAGATATCAGATCCCGACGAAAGAGGTGGTGTTTTGTCGTCTTTACCAGCTATGTTCATTGTTCTGTTATATTGGCGGACAAAAAAAGGAATGCACGTTGTGCTGTCTTTTGCAGTTCCCTTGTAGGAACTAACAATCATGTCCATGATAAACATTATAGAGTTCACCAAATTTTACAAATGAAAGATTTTTTCCCAATTTGTGACGAGGGATTAGCAACATTTTGTGTTTTTTTGTTTTGTTTTTGCTCCTTCGTAAAACTTATGGTATCGTGGCCTTTCAGCAAAACAAACAAAGGTACTTTAAAATATTTTTTTACATTAACAAAAAATTTTTAACGGAAATTTCTACAGTTTGTTGTTTTATTGATTACTAGAAATTTTCTAATGTCGTTTGTTTCGTCGGGGGTTCCATTCTCGTTCAGATGGGCGAAAAAAGTTAAACAAACAAACACAGACAAAGAAAACATAAATAACAAAAACGAATATTTGGATAATAAAAGCGACGATTTAGGGATAGCTCATTTGTACGGTGAATAGATGTAACATTGCGAACTAGGGATGCCACAGACGAACAATGTAAGTAGAACCCAGGCAGTTGATGTGTGGTTTAAGAGTGTAAATTGATTTTGAAGAGCGACGTTGTGACCATCAGACTTCAAGATTTTATTATTGTACGAGACATGTTATATTGTGCAGTGTCGCGTTTTGTTCTTACAGCAAAGAGTTCGTTCTTTGATGTTACTAAGGGAGCTGCAGACTCTCCTGATCCCTCGAAAGAAACAGATAAGGAGTTGTTGGCAGATGGGAGCTGTCCTGTGCTTCCTGGTGATACAGAAGCTGAAGCGGTAAGGATTGTCTGCTAACTCTTGTTACCTAGCAACCGGTTGGTAAACGAGCGAAAGGATTCTGACGAAGGCCTAACGCTCAAAAAAAATCAGCTTTAGAAACACTTTACGATGGCCAATTTATGTTATGAACGCAGATGATAAAACCAGAGTGTCTTTTAATACCCCCCTCTCGGTCACAGCACCACAGTCTGTTTAGAAACTTACCCCCTTTTAATCAATTGGATAACGGTTTTGACTAACACCGTATTTGTCCTTTAGGAATGCGACATCTGTTGCGAGAAATTTGAGCAATTCTGGGAAGAGATTAATGAAGAGTGGCATTATAAGTCTGCCGTACGCATTGATGGCAAGGCGAGTTACTATTTTGCTCCTTTTATGTTTGTTTTTGTTTTTTTACAATTTACGTTATCTGTTTAGAGGTACCTACATACACACATAAACTTTACTGAAGTGTCAAGGTATTTAGCTAAAAGCTAATTGTGGACACTATAAATGAATAACATGAGTATAGTATAAGATTAAATAGAGTATATGTAAAAATATTAAGGATATACTCTTAAAATATCATTAATATATATAAAAAGCATCAATATATAAAATTGTTACAGACAATCATGTAAGCAGCAATAGAATGAATACACAGAATTTAGAAAGCTAAAAGTCTAGAAAATTTAAATAAGACGAGTTTAATAGAGGAAAGGGGAGCACACTCCCAACACACCAGGCAGCCACACAGCAAAAGCCACTATGCATATCCACCTCTTTAAGATGAGCATGCATAGCAGCCACACAGCAAAAGCCACTATGCATACCCACCTCTTTAAGATGAGTATGTACAGCAGTCACACACAGCAAAAGCCACTATGCATACCCACCTCTTTAAGATGAGCATGCACAGCAGCCACACAGCAAAAGCCACTATGCATACCCACCTCTTTAAGATGAGCATGCACAGCAGCCACACGTGCCATCAAGTAAGCCAAGCACATTGTTTTTGACACTGGGTTAAATTGCTTTGCAGACGTACCATTATTTGTGCTACCAAGACGTCAAGGAGGTAGGTGTATCTTCATTTCATTATGTTTTTTTGCCAAACTTTCTTTGTAATGCACTAAATGATTTTGTGCAAAACTATTGTACTAAACATATTAATAAGTTATGGCTCTTCCGTCTGTCCTTGAAGAGTGGCTTAAATCTCTTTTGTTTGAGTTCGTGCGTTTTAATTTCTGTTATTCTTACCAATTCTGAGACATCGTTGTCATTTGATTTGGGAGTATTTGATTTCCTTGTATTCTAGACTTCTAGCAGCTCTCTTTTTTTCTGACTGAAAAAAAAAAAAGGATGAAAGGAGAGAAAATAATAAGAGTGATAAAAGCAAACAAATAAAGAAATAAATCGGCGCCTTCCTTGCGCTATTTTTTTATTTTTTTATTTTATTTATTTTTTTTTTTTTTGCGCCGTGTCACTTTTTTGTTGTGACTAAGCTGGGAAAGATGACCTGCTGGGTAGTGTCTTTGTGTTCCTATCTAATAAGATATTCTGTTTTTTCTTCCACGTTGTTGTAATTCTTTGTCACTTTTGTTGCATTTGTTGAATAAAAATAGAAATATGATATTGAAACATGTTCCTAATTCTTACACGTGTTTTACATGTATCCGTTTGCCGGACTGGAGAGAGACTGTATGGTATGCAGGTGTTGCAGTACAAAGTCTCCAGAAACCAGCAGGAATCTAGTACAACTAACGTATTCCTTGTGTCATTTTCTTTCTTCTTCCCTATTACTTTGTCTTTGGTACAATCATTGTACGTTTTGCCTTTTCATGCCACCGTGTCGCGTCTAGAGCCAAATTCAAACAGAAGAGGACGAAAACGAGCAGGAGAAAGATGACGAAAACCCCGAAATTTCTGTGGAAGAAAAATCGCCGGGAAAGGATGGCGCAAAGACAGAGAAAATCGATGAAAACGATCAAGCAAAGGCAGAACTGGGACACGAGGAAGGTCGTGATAGGGAACCACAAATACCTCAAAGTAAAGGGGCGTCCGAAAGCAATCCGCAAAAACCAGAGACTGATAATTCAGATTCACATTTTAAGGCATGTGAAGGGAAGGGCGTGGTTAGTTTGTCTAGTAATGTTAATGAAAATAAAGAAAATGAAACGAAGGGTGATGAAACATAGTCACTCTAGTTCAGGGCAGTGCCTTGATCATGCGTCCTCTATTAGCATTTTCAAACAGCCAAGTGACATTGAAGAAAGAAAGAAAGAAAAATTTTTACAAAATCATTTCCCCCATTCTCCTCCTCTTAGGGTCCCAGTTTCCTGTGCATGAAAAGCGCGAAAGAAACTATGATCGTTAATAGCGACTTGTTATGTGCCCATGCCTCTTGAAAAGTTAAATCCCATGGCAGTTTTGGATGCCACCGCCATTTCCCAGCGTTCCGCTAATTTTTTTGTTGGCCATGATAATTTCACTTCTTCGGCATTCTTGCGCGTGATTATGCATTAAAACGAAGTATTGAAACACTGAAGTATCAGGGGCTTCACCATACTCTTTATCAAAGATAATTCGAACTGAAAAAAATGTTTGGAAAAACAGGAAATTTGAACAGAGTCTTATTTAGCTAACTCAAGAATAAAGATAATCTACGAGGTGTGGTAACTTGAAATATTTCCTGCCGACCTGATGTACAATGCCAGCAAGCTGTGGAAATAAAGAATTTCTTACAACTTGTTGCAGTGTGATTTTGTTGTGGTTATTTGTCTTTGTTACTAGTAACAGGCTATCGATCTGACTTGACATTTTTCATGGATTAGCTTTCTGGGCGAGTTGTGCATGTAGAATTTTCCTATCAGGATCATATTCAAGGGGAAAGCCCGGATTGCTGTTTTAACGATAATTTTTGTATTGAATTGTGAGTGATTTTCTTTCACTCATCCCATTTTACATGTTTCCGGCTGGACTCGCTACTCAGGCACCAGTATGGCGAGGACTTTAGCACGTACGGGTTGATGGTTCCCGAATAGGTAAACTGATCTTGATAATGAAAATAAAACGTTTTGAACGTAACGACTGACTGGATTTGTGTAGCTTATTTTGAGTAATGCTCGACTGCATCGGTATTAGAGCACATTTCGATTGAGTATCTTCAGAACCACATTGATCACAATTGCGAATCAGAAAAAAAGGAAATACTTAAAGAGCCAGTGAGAACTTTCAGTACAACCGACCAACCTTAGAGCGCGGGGGAAAAGTTTTGTTCAGTGTTTAATCTTTCACACTGGCGCCCGAATTTGGTAGCTTAGTCAGTACACAGCCCTTCCATTTTTCTAGAGTGGAAATGGTAGGGGGGGGAGAATAAGATCCCTTTGCATTGGAGGAGAAAGCTCAATTCTCTCGAAATTTAGTGTTGCTGTTGTTTTAACTGATTCAGCGCCCGGTTCCATCTCAGGCCCTAAACGACAAGACAACTACATGACACACACGCCAAGAAGATTGGCTGACTTATATGTGAGAAAAATAGACAGATTACCCACTTTTCCTTTTTCATGAATCCGTGGCCTTGGTTTTGTATTGGGGCACAAATGTTTAAATTTCGTTCATTTTTGTGAGTTCTAGTTATCTCAACTAAGACCGCAAAGGATTTTAAACTTGACATCTTTGAATCGAATAATGACAGTCTACTGAACACCAATACAAGAAGATTGACCATACAAACAGAATTTCTTAAATTTATAATGCATTAATTTCCATCTGAAATATGGAATGCATCGATTTAAGGATTATATTCGTGCAACTGACCGAATTACCCATACCGCTTATTTTCAGCGTAATATGAACTCTTCCACTTGAAAAGAAAAGAATTCTCAGCAAAAATATTTGCGCGTCCGCTTCAACTTTTTGGAGGGTTTTGCTCATTGAGGGAGGAGAGCTGTAAAACGGGCCGCAACAGTTTCATAGAGTTTCTCAAATAGTCCGCACTTGTGGAGGAATCAAGATACAGCGTTGTTATTAGAGAGCTGACTGAGTCAGGGTTTTCCGAGTCATCGGCAGCGGTGTTCAAACAGCCTGCGAAATGCGTCGCCAAAACAGAAATCTCCTCTAAAACTGCGTCTGTCAATTTGCGCACGCATTGCGCACGCACAAGAGACGAAGTTTCCATGGCTCGCTCCGCTTGATGGAGTAAAAGTTCAGTAAACTTGTGAAATGATTCCACGGTGCGCGCCGTCAGCTCCGCCAAGCTTGAAACGGCCGTGTTGTAAATTTCAAATCCATCTTTACTCCCTGGAGATTCATCCTGTTCCTTTACACAAGAAGCAATCCATTCTCTTGATTTTTCTTGCGAATTGACGATCTTGTCCGCTGTAAGAGGCAGGTTAAGCGACTTGACATTGTCTAACACGTCCGATTTAAAGTCTTCTTCAGCCCCTTCGACATCAGCGTCATTTTCGTCGTCGATGTGGAAAACTTCTTCTACGGCTCGTAACAATGGCTTCACCATGTTAAGCTCGTCTTCTGTCAAGTCAATGATGCGGGATTCAAGCTGGAGACAAAAGGTTGAAACATACTTTGACGAGATCAATTTCTTCAAACAATTAGTAAATTATTTATTATTATACATCATTCATAAACTTCAACATACTATCCTGCAAGCAGGCCTTCACTATTCACGAAACAGGACTTATGTTATTCCACCCGAGGAAAGACTGGAGACAAGTCGGGAAAAGGTTTGCTTGACCATTGTAGACCTCTTGCCAGCTTCCGTTGCTCATTAGGGATCATTAGGTCCCCTAATTCCACGCGGGAGAAAAACCCTCGTGCTTTATTCTTGATATTATAACCACTCAGATTGTTCTGGGAGTGGAGACTTGGACACTGTATGAAAGTGGAGTGGGGGGAGGGGGGAGTCTTCACCTACCTGCTCCCTTTCAGGGGGGGGGAGGGGTAGAAGGGGGAAGGGGGTTAAAATTGCCCCAAGCAATTCAAATAACACAGGGAAAACACACATTTGAAACAAGTCAGGGAGAGGTTTGGTGGGAGTCTGGCACTATTAGTTAGCTTACACATGGCAAGGTACAAAAATTTATTTATTGAGGGGGAGTGGGAAGGGGAACTGACAGAGACTGTTTGGAGGATTAGAAACCTAATATTTTTAACTAATCTTACTGGTACTTACCTCGGCCTCACTGTCACGTGACAGCATCTCCAATGCTTCTAAGTGAGCAAGTCCTTGGTATTTGTCAAACTCACCACACAAGTCTACAGTGGGTGTGGTTTGCTGTGCTTCAACTGTTGCTTTTTGTTCAGTTGCTTCTCTGGCTTCTCTTAAAATCTGCCGAGAGAAAATTTTAATTTCTGCGAGTAAGACTGCAGCCTAAAGTTTCCATTTCCTCCTGCTGCAGGATGGTTCATACTGGAAACAAAAGTAGTCCAAGGTGCATCCACATGCTTATTAGCTGTCAACACAGAGAATGTGGCTTTGGAATAAAGTTTCTAAAGGGGGAGTGGGGTGTTTTAAGATGCATAACAAAAATTATTACACGAGTTGGGCAGTCAGAGGGCCAATAACTAAAATCAACCAATCAAAATGCTCTATTGCCGGTCAATATTCTCTCAGTATTGGACCGGGCACTGTCCTGAATGGTCCCAAATGATACCGCACTTGTGTCCCTTTGAACTTCAGTGGTATAATAAATCTCTTATTAACCAAGTTTGCTCGGGACCGTACTGGAAGAATATCAGCCCTCGGTCTTTTTTGTACGGACCGAATACAGTGAGGTCCGTACTGTCAAGACCTCTAGCTGATATTCTCCCGGTACGGCCCTTGCGCTTGGTTAATAAGATATATAGAAACAACCTACCACCTCCTCCCAGCCACTCCTGCCTAAATCGTGGTTACTGTAAATATCATAGCATATTAGTGTTGAGCTACTAGTGTTCTATCACAAATGCTGCAATCTGATTTGCTACATGCTACCAGCGATCTATTCTGTGATAGAGTGAATAGCCTAACATTGTGATGTTGTAAACAAAATAAAATAAAATAAAATAAAATAAAATAAAAAAAGCCTGACTTGTTGTTGAGTTTTGAAAGATAAGTGCATTTAAACTTCTTCACCCAGGTGTTTAA